CAGCGATGTTTGTCGAGGCAGGTAGCGGTTGGAAAAAGATCAAGGGTGGTCAAAAGAGGACTTGCCTAACCAGGAGACAGGGTAACCTAGGCTCCCTGGTCGGGGACCTCTGAGAACATAGTCACCGTTGGTTAGAGACACTGAATGATATGACTGAATGTCGCTAACAGTGGCACTCATGCATCTGCTCCTTATTCTTGTAACATCAGTTTATATAGATGCGCTATCTTTCGCTTGAATTTGCTCTCAACATTCTGATTCTCATCCCACTGTTTTATGCAAATCGGCAATCAAAACTGGCGCACGAAAGTGCATGGTTAATGGTCGTAAGAACTAAACTGATGCCATTATCTTCGCACGAGAATAAGACTGTTTGAACAATCATCTGTGATAAAGTTAAGTCGAGAGAAGGCAACCCTGACGAACATCACGTTCTGTCGTAGACCCGGGCGATCAAGCGCCGTAAGCTCAGACTTGACTTCGACTGTTAGTATAGAGGGATTGTAATATTGAAATAAACTTATCGGGCACACCTTTCAGAGCGAGGCAGCGCCAGAGTTTAAAGCAATCGACTAGATCGAAAGCCGCTTTCAGATCGAGATAGAAATGGTGAGTCTACAACAGGAATGCCTGTGTTCTAGAATTCAACGTAGAGTGGAGATGTCAACACAACCTCGAGCAGATCTAAAACCAGCCTGGTTCTCATGCGTGCACCGTTCACGTGCGGTAGATAATAGACGAAGTATAACACCAGCGAGAAGCTTAAAGACGATGTTGATTAAACTAATTCCCCTGTGGTTTTCATAAGAAGATCTATCAACTTGCAAATCGGTGTGATGACCGATTAACATCATTCAGTTGGAACCTCACTGTCCTCAGGATTTTTTTATTAACTCCAAATAACTCCATCCCAAAAAACCGATGGGGACACTCCATCTGGACTGGAGGCCTTATACCTTTTGAGGGAACTTGTTTCCCGAGAAACCTCCATTTCTGATGGAGAACTGATATCTACTGGCATTATTTGTCCAGATGAAGTAGGTATGAGGAGGTTTTGGGTCAACGGGGCCTTGAAATTTCATGCCCATCGTTCAAGACGGCGTTGTCGAATATGTATTAGTGTGCCGCCATACCCCTCAAGCCTAAATTCCTTGGGCTCGTACTCCTAATTAAACGTAAAAGATTGCAACTGTTACAGATAACTGCATCCTCCTCCATCTTTACACTCTCCTATCCACCACTTCTCGCGCGGTCATTCCTCAGACTCTTGATGAGGGAATTATGCGCTTTGTCGTATTTGGCCTCAGAAGGAATGGCTTTGCGACCATCCAGCGAGACAGCCGAGGTCGAGGAGATCCATCGGTTTTGTTTTGATTGTGCGCCCTAATCCGCCGTTGTTTTGATTGACATTTGGATCGCTTCATTGATTACCGTCCAGTGTTCACCGAGTCCTTTTGCTGATGGTTGAGCTGAGAGGCCATCAGAGAATTCCTCTTCGAACGCGGATTTGCGTCTATCACCGATATAGCGTCGTAGGCATTCGTTTCCGGTGACTTTTTTGTGATTGTTTACCTGACGTAGGGAGAATCTGGCTCCTAGCAGAGCATGGTCCGTGTCCACGGGTATTGACCAGTAATTGCGGCAGTCTTCAATGGATTCTCGCCCGGCGGTAGCTGATGGCGATGTGGTCAATTTGAGTCCATTGCCATGAAAAGGTCGGCGTCTTCCACGTAGGTCGGTGTCTTCTCTTTTGCCATAAATTGGTGCTTTATTAAAACAATCCGTGGCCCGCGCAAAGTTGAGGTGGGCAAACTCCGTTGTCCGTCCGGTTGATTAGGATTGCATAAGTAACTCCAAGAAATCTTTCTAATTCGTTCAGGGATCCCACGTGAGCGTTGAAGTCTCCGGCGACTACTAGGACATCCGTTGGCGACACACTTGGGAGTAATCGAGAAATATCTCTGTAGAATTCATTCTTTCAGGCGAACTGCAGTCGGTCAGTGCATACACAGACACGACAGATTAGCATCGAGGCTTCGTTCTGCAGCTGTTAACCCGTATTTAATCGTTGAGATGTACAACGCACAGTCGGCTACTGACTAAGATCCAGTCAAAAAGCGATGCGCTCAGTTTTGACAGCGCANCGCAATCCGAACACCAGTAACACCGCAAGCATCGTATGCCAAATCGCCTGACACGAGGGGTGAAGCCTGAGGATGAGGTTGGGTCAGAAGAGCGCAGGTAGATTGAAGTAAGGGATTTGAAAGTGAAAGGAAGAACTGGACAGATGGGAAACGGGTTTTCCAATTGGGTATTTAAGACATAGCCCACATCGACGAGGTTCTTTTTTTCTGTGGTAACTTTTATCGGAGCCACAAAAGTCTGACCCACAAGGCAGCGGGAATATGTGGGTTTTTCTTTGGGAACTGTAACCGGAGCCTTTGACTCAAGTCTGACCCATAAGGCAGTGAGGCGTAAATCCAACGCAGAAGCGTGACCAAAGCACCCCGTGAGAGCTTCCATAGCCTTGTCTCGCAAGGTCTTTGAGCTTCGGATCACTGTTGTTCGCCGGTACGTTGTTGCTCGTCCGCCGTTCGGGATCGGCCCTTAGTCTGATGCACCCAGTGAGACAAAGCGCAACATGGACGTGACAGTACCTTATTGGTTCGGGGCTGCCCAGCTTGGGCGGGCGGTAGCTGTCTAATGAAGTGCTAAGGCGAAGAATTCATCGGATCATACACCTTTTGCACGTGTTCAGATGTCCAAGGTGCCCAATGCACCTCGACACCCAGTCGATCCGGTGACCACTACCACGATCGGAAAGGTATATGCGTGGTTTGTACGCCTCTTGATTGCTTTGGAATCGGGTTTTTTAGTCAACTTCATTAGAGTAACTACCAGTGATTCACCGACCCTAAAGTGGCTCTCCGTCCTCTTTTTAGTGGGAAAACTTCCACCATGAGAAGGCTGTGAGTGGGACTTCCTCGGCAGAAGCAATATGAGACGCTGGGTCGTGTGAGAGAATTTCGCAAGATATTAGGGAGGGGTGACTAGCTGAAACCCGGGACATCCCCGACCACACTGAGGCTTTCGGAGGTTTAGTGGCTAAGCTTCTTCAATTTTTACTGTTTTCCTACGCGATAACAATTTTTCAGGCTCTTCAGGAGAACGAAAAGTGTGGTGGTCCGTTGGTAATGTCACCGAATTATCACCCCATAGGATGTGTTCAAATCCAACCACTACCTGACCTCCCCCAATGCGTGTTGTTTAGTAGTCCTGGACTGATGGACTTCTTCCCCCTTTCTGATAAATGCAACATAATGTATTCAACAAAAGGAAGTAGAAATGAAAATCATTTTTTTACAGATGACGTGGAAGAAGGCCTGAAGAAATGCACAGAGCGATTGGGCACAATAGGTGTCTCCCATTTTCCAAGTTGGGGTCCAAAAGACTGCAGTTAGTCGGTGGGAGATACTGAAGGGTATGGCAACTAAACGACAGCAGTGGCGTTGTCATTTCTTATCAGGTCAGAATGCATGAAAAGGTATGTATGCATATTTAGATTGTGTACTGTGTGTTAACCATAGAGGTTCACTTTCTTTGCCTCTCCCTAGTTATGCCCAGTTACTGTCCATTTTGTGCTTTATCACTTAATTTGTGTACACTGTGGGCTTGGCAGCGATCAGTGAAGTTCGCATCACTGTATCTCGCTGTACCATAATGGTGATGATATCAAATCTTTCCCATCCATTCCTCATTTTTCATTTAAACTCAATTTCGAGTCAAGCCAACATCGACGAATTGCTCCGATGATTATGTGATTTTTGTGGGTTAGCTGCGTCTGACGTCCTTGAGGTGCAAATAAAAATGTGCCCTAATTCAGATAGAGAGTACACGTATCAGAGTGACTTTTTTTAAACAAACAAACAAACAAGACTTGACAAAGGAGTACCGCATACACATGTCTGATGAACGGAAAGAATCGCGAAACCAGTCGCGCTTCTAGGTATTTTTATTCCGTCGTTCACTTCCTACTTTTTTATAAGATATCCCCAAACAGTTTTTCATTTTTTGTATTTAGATATGTTGAGTGTTATCAGCAGTGCGAACAATCGTTCTGTTCCTTAGACCAAAGGGTGTTGAATCCCGTCAACCATCCAGCTCTCTTCGGTTTATCTATATGCAAGGAAATACCCCCCCCCCCGAAATAGTATTTTACTGAGGTCACTGTATTCATATCTAGTAAAGTAATGGCCCACGATGAGCCAAACACGTAGTTCGAAATCAGCCGCGATGTTCTCGAATGGCTTCCCATTTTGCCAATCATATTCAGTCTCGTCGTCGACAAAATTTTAGGGAACACTATTTCCTCCGAAATGTTTGTACTGAAGGGGAAGCTGGATAAAAGCTGGGTAGTTTAGATTACACTGATGACGTCGTCCGCCTGTTCCAATGCATGGAGAATGCATAAAGCGCACTTGACTTCACTGTGCTGTTTGAACCTTCCGGGTACGGTGATATTGGATACCGACTTTTCCTCGCTCCTTTAAACTAGAACTGAGTGTAGTTGCTTTTCCCATATCACTAGCTGCGTTACTAATAATGGTGGCCAAGTTCAGCTGACCACAGGCGGGGCTTACTGGGGCAGATAATGGGTAGAAGAAAGTCAAGGTTGGCCTGCATAGTACCTGACATAAGGGCATGAAAACATCAATCTAGGGACTAAAATGTCAGTCGCACCAGGCCGCCCGGTTAGGGGACAGTGTAATCGATAATCAGCGATTTAGCATTTCCTCTGCCCTTGTACTTCTCCCGGATTTGCACCTTTTCCGTTCATTATTTCATCCAAATGGAGAACCGAAGGACTGCAACCTATGTAGCCGCGAGAGCATTCGAGATTAACGGTTGTACGATCTCTATTCGAGCACCATTATGTCTATCTCAAATCATCAGGAGCAATATTGAGCTTACCATCAATTGCAATGTATTCAAGTTAGGTGGCAGTTATTTCATTCAGTTTCATACCGCAAAATCTAGAGGCCATACGGCCATTCAGTGTTGATGATATTTTTGTGTTATTGTTTGCAGGCGCTGATGTGAACGCAAAAACGGAGGAAACGCAAGAGACCGCATTGACTCNGGAGGGTTTATTGAAGTTTGCGAGATGCTCCTTAACGCTGGAGCTGACATAGAAGTCAATGGTGGTGGTTGTTCGACTCCTTTAATGGAAGCTGCACAGGAGGGGCATTTAGAGCTTGTCCGTCGCCTGTTAGAACGAGGAGCAGCAGTCAAGGCAGTCACTACCACGGGTGATACTGCATTGCATTATGCTGCTGAGAATGGACATGTCAAAGTTTGTAAACAGTTGTTAGATTGGGGTGCTGATTTGGGTGCAATGACTGAGGGAGGAAGAACACCCTTGATGAAAGCTGCCCGCAATGGCAATCTGGAAGTAGTTCAACTCTTTCTGGAGCACGGTGCCCCTATCGATCAGCCGACCTCTCAAAATGATGCCAACGCATTATCCCTCGCTTGTGCTGGTGGACATGCCAAGGTCAGATTTATTGTTTGTTACTATTTGATTATTTCCTGTGATGCTTATGACGTTCGCAACACTCAAAGAGCCTTTTTAGTCACCAATTAGGGCTTCATACTCCACTTTAGTTTTCTTCATTGATGGAGAGATTTTACTTTTTGAATCGTACCATTTAGTGATAAACGCGCTTTTACTGAACTGTATGTATTCCATGAAGCAAGTGTCGTTCCTTTTCATTCGACTACATAGATAATAACGTACAATCGCACATTTTACCAGCTTCGATGTCTAAATTATTCCATCAAGTGTCTCTTTTTTCGCGCCCGATTTATGAATGTAAGATGCTGAAGGACCACTATTTTATCTCGTTTAGGTTGTGAAGTACTTATTGCAACATGGTGCTGATCCCCAATATCAACTCAGAGATGGATCCACGATGCTTATTGAAGCTGCTCGTTCGGGAAATCCCTCGGTTCTGCGTCTCATCTTGGATTATCCTAAGTGCCTAACACAACCTCCTGCTGCGGTCCCTCCCTCGACGGTCCAGTTACTAGGCCCCACGGCCCAACAACAGCAACAGCTCCAACTCCTCCAACAGCAACAACAGCAACAATTGTATCAGTCACTTGTGAATGGTACTCAATCGTCTATGGTTAACCCTTCCGTTATGCCTCCGCCGCCACCACCGCCACCACCTCCATTGCCCTTATCAGTTTCTGCTGCAGTGCCTGAAGAAACATGTTTAGATCCAATGCATGCTCACCACACTCATCAGCACACAATTTCTTGTCATTCACAACATCCGCACACGCCGATCACGTTCCATCAAGCACCACCACCCAATTTGGTTGCGTCAGTGAATTCCAGCCAACCGCCAACGCACCTAGACGCAGCCTTAGTAAGCGCGTACGCCGTCGGTTGGGCTGACGGAGCTGCGTCACTGGTACAACAGCAACACCATCACGTGCTCTCTCCGAGTCACAGTAAGCCATTGTTTGAATCGAAACGCATGCCTCAGGCGAACGTATGTTTTCAGTGATTTCGCTACCATTTTTTACGCATCGCAGTTATTTCAAATAATTGTGCTGGGGGCACAGTATGGGGCAATTTGGGACGGGAATAAAAAAGGATGAATAGGTAGTAGTAAAACATGTTTTGTAACCAGTCTCGAGGGCAATAGTGACATCGAATTGCATCAATTCGATGTAAGTAACGAGTAATTTTTTAGTCCATTTTAGTACACTGCCTGCATCTGCATTCTCTCTGACAGTTTGTCGTGGTGGTAATCTGTAGCCGTCCAAGCTAATTTTCGTTCCTATTAAATCAATTCAAAAACTTTCCCGAACTTTGAGAGTGAGACTGAAACCATTTATTGGGTAGCTTATTCTCGGACGTAAACGAATTGTTTGAAGTACTTGATCATCTGGAAGATATTTTTATTTTGTTCCATGCGAATTCACAGCCGCCATCTTGGCTTACCGTATTTTTTAAAGCACACTGCTGATTGGAGCGCACTTAAATACAATTTGGTACCAGGTGTCCACCATTTTATTCAATGAATGATGTGTTCGGTTGGTAATTAAATTAATACGATTGTTATTCGGTGAAATTATAGTAGTGTTTTATTCGTTAACAGATAATCGCACTTGATTGTTTCTGTTTTGATAGGGCAGTCAGTCACTGTACCTCGGTCTATTCTGTTAAATGCCATTACCGCGATCGTTTACGGCTAACATCTTTTGGAGGTGGTCGTAATTGATCCAAGTATGAAATGATTACTGGGAGATTAGTGAGCCGAACTACCTGATGAAAATATCATTCTTATCACAATTGATATGATTTAAATGCGATCAACAGTAAGGTTATATGGATGTTTTTGGGCGCAGAATAGTTTTATGTTCCTTCACCAGATGCATATTTCCCCTTAAACCTTCCATATTCTTTGAAAACTTATGTACCTCTTATTTACAGCTGCCACTGCGTTGTTGGCACACCCCGACTCACTTGTCTTACCCCCTAACAATGTCGCATTTGACGTGAACGCGTTGCCACAAAGTTTACCGCTAAAATCACTTCCCTGTGCAAGTGCGAATCAAGGTTTCACCGGTGCTGCAAAAACCACCTCAGTAGAGTGTCAAGTAAGCCCAAGCCCGATAACCGGTGTCGGCACGGGTTCATCGGCCATCAGTGTAGCGCAGGCGCAGGTGTTGACAGTGTCTGCTCAAACCGGTATGACGGTCGCAACCACCCCTCCCTCTTCCAGTGCAGAGAGTGTAAGTGGAAGCAGTTCGACAAGTTCCAGGAGCAGTGCTTCTTCTCTGGTGGCCGGAGCTCCGGTGGATTCGGCAGATGACTCTGGGGCGGGTTTGTTGGTGAGTGTTAAAATCGTTCTTCAATCCACTCTATTCTTCTAGAATGTTGGAACAGTTTTTTTATTTCAGTTCTGTTTTTTTCCGTTAGTTCATGACACGAGTCAATTTTGTGTTTTTCATATGGTCGAACCTGTTCTCGCAGCACCACCGCTGCTCGTGAAGCGTTTTTGGTCAGCCGTGTACCAAGGTAATAACTATCGCATGCCATTCTCTCAACTGTGTGCTTGGAAGAAAAGTAATCACCAGCAAATACGATTGTATGCGGCACGCGCAAATGTTCTAGGCAATTTGAAATTTCTTTTTGTTCGGCATTACCCTCAATCCGTTCTCATCTTTCTACACTTAAAGGGTTTCCCCTTTGTTGCTAAGATTAGCTGTCTGTTACCAAAGTCTGCCACATGTTTGCTCTACTGAAACTGAGAATTTAACCGACAGTGGTGCTTTGCTGTACGCTGCTTGCGTCGTATACCGAGCATTCACTCCAGCTATACTTGGTTCAGCCACGTCGTCTGCACAGATCACAAGTTTCTTAAGCTTTTGTTATGTTGAATCTCCTGGATGCAGAGCTTATATTTCCTGGTTTGGAGAACTCAGCTCCCATGCTTCAATCTTATATTCAAATATCCAAATAGATTCCATTTTGTATTGTTCTTCAGACAGCTGTTGTCGGACATTCTTTTTAATTTGATGGTTTTCTTCATTCATTGTAATTGTTATCAAGCGCGCGTTACTAAAGTCGCTCGAATTAATGGAGTCACTATGAACCTACCCTAATGTGGCTTGGTATTCCTTGAAAACAACACGCCCATATTAAAATTCCAAATTTTCACCGTTACAAATATTTGTTACTACTTTTTTCACTTGTCACTATGACCGAGTCTAGGAAGTTAAACAGGCTTATGTACAAGTTCCCCTTCTTTAGATTGTAACCAAGGTTTTTGGAATAGTGCAAGCCGCTGCCCCGATATATTAACACACTTCAGCTAGCTGCTATCAGTAATGATTTAGCTCTTCATCATCCGTCCCATTTATGCTGTAATGGAAAATGACGCGCATATAAATGTGTTTCATTCTTTTCCATCCGTTAACAGCAAGCGTTATTCCAAGAGCTAATGCCCGATAAAGATGAACTGATTCGGCGATTTGAGGCTGCAATGTGCTCACGTAACCCACTTCGTGTAACCCGTGCGGCTGTTGGTCAGCAGTCGCCGACTTGTCCACAATCTGCTGCCGCTGTTGCCATGACCACAAATGCAGCTGCGCTGGCTCTTAGTCGACTTGTTGATCAACAGCAGCAGTGTCGTCATCGAGCCATTGTCTCGGACTCTGGTAGTGATACAAGAATAAACGGACCGCCAATGACCTGTTCTCACACGCATTCCACGGACCATCTCCCTAATTACACGCAGTTGAGCCACGAAGTTCCCACCTCCGGAGAGTGCGGAACAGCAGTCCTTCAATCAGCTGATGCTGCGGAGCCCTCGGAATCAGCAGTTGGGGGTTGCGGGACTTCAAACACGACTCCGATTTTGTCATCATGCCATTCGTCTTCTTCATCAGCTCTATCAACTCCAGAGTGTTCTGTTTCCTCTTCGCTGTGTGCAACTGATTCTCTTTATCCGACTAACGAGTTAGTTACAACAGCACTTGGCCGGTCTGCGTACGAATGTGAACTTGATAAGGCAACTGATGTCCTCTCACCCATTATCGAATCGACATACTTGGGCAACGTTCCAGACTCTGTGGAGCTGAAAACTCCGCATTCTCTACTCCACGAGCGTGCGATCAATCACGACATGTTGGCTTCTTACCGTCACTACCACGTAAGTTCACCTTAATCCTGGGAGCTTGCCTTTCCTTTCTAACCTCTCGTTTTCGTGATACGCCAGTCCTTGGGACACATTTTTACATTCAATATTAGAAAAATGCGTAGTGGTTATTTATCACTACGATTTTGCATTCTTTAAGAATTTATCAGGTCCCAATAAGGATTACCTCGTAAATAATGCCGGTGATGTTTGTCTTTTCTCACTTAATTGAATTTGAACCATCACTAACTGTTTTCCTCTGGGTTTCCACCTATAGCACTCTGGCTCGCACATTTCATGCACTCTCGATCCTGCAGCAGCTGTAGCAGCAGCCGCAGGACTAAGTCACCCAAATGTGCATCATCATCACAACCCGCTCACCGTGTCGGCTGGAGGCGAAAACCTTATGGCTCCCAGCGGACTGCTGCACCTTCCTCATCAAACCTCAGCCATATCGGTGGACACATTGATGACCAATACCACGGGAACCTTAACTTATGACCCAACCAGCAGTGCTTTAGCCTCTCATCCTGGTGCACTGCACTCTACTCCATCGTTACCCGTAACTGGAGCCCGTGTTCTACCTATGGGCGGTGCAACTCCAGCTGTTTTGGCCTCATCAGCTAACAGTCCTATGCCTTCCACTCATCTCATAGCCACCGGAGACTTATCGTCTGTTGCTGTCGGTAGCTTGCCTGCCGGCACAACAGAACCCATCGCTACCGTCAACAATGTCCCTCCCTTGGTGGATGTGAACGCGTGTATCGAATCTAGCATGGAAACTGCGCTGACCCTAGCTAGTAACGGTGGCCACGTGGAGTTGGTGCGTCTTTTATTGGAACGCGGTGCAGATCGAGAACATCGAGATAAGAAGTCACACACTCCATTACATACTGCTGTTTATGCTAATCAAAGAGCCGTAGTTGCATTGCTGCTGGATTACGGGGCTGATATTGAAGCGCAGGTGGATCGCACAAAAGATACGGCGCTATCGATTGCCTGTTCCCATGGGCGACTAGAGGTGAGTGGCTTTAAACATGTTTTTGGAATCTTCTTACGCCCCCGTATATTAAAAAAATTTACTATTGTGTAAAAATGCAGACCAGTCCAATCTAACCGGTGACTGCTTATCGTACAAATATCTTGTATACAATTATTTGAAATGTTCGCTGGATGGAGATTATCAAATACCCCACATCAGTCCTTTTTGAATCGGAAAACATCATATTATGTTGCCACGTAAATCGAAAATGGAAATAATGTTTTGGTGGAACCACACTTCACCGGCATTCCTTACCGTTCACCGTCGTTAAGATTTTTGTTATTTAAATCCAATTCTCTTATCTTGTTTTGTATGTTTGTTCCGTCTGCCTCCTACCCCATTACCACATTTCGACACTAACCAATGGAAACTTCCAGAACTAAACGTCATAATTTGGTTTAAATGTTATCTCGCCCTTTAGATTGTCGAAGAGCTTTTAAATCGGGGTGCAAATAAAGAACATCGCAATATATCCGATTACACACCCTTGAGTTTGGCCGCTTCAGGGGGCTACGTCGAAGTCATTCAGCTGTTACTGCGCCATGGAGCTGAGATCAACTCGCGTACTGGATCCAAATTAGGCATTTCCCCGTTGATGTTGGCTTCCATGAATGGCCACACGAATGCAGTGCGTCTCCTTTTGGAGCATGGATCCGATATTAATGCGCATATCGAAACGAACCGAAACACGGCACTCACACTTGCGTGCTTTCAAGGACGCGCTGATGTGGTGCAACTCCTTGTGGAACGAAAAGCGAATATCGAACACCGTGCCAAAACTGGTCTAACACCACTTATGGAAGCCGCTTCGGGCGATTTCGTAGAGGTGGGCATGATTCTCCTCGAGCACGGAGCTGATGTGAATGCTTCACCCGTACCAAGCTCACGTGATACAGCATTGACGATTGCCGCAGATAAAGGAAACGCAAAATTTGTCGAACTCCTCCTAGAGAAGTGAGTTTGTAAAGTCTTAACATTTCACTTTGACCTGTGTTCTGACCATGGTGACCTATCTTAAGAACTTTTTTACATTTTTCCCCGCGTTTAGTCCAAACTGTGCAGAACAATATCACGGGATAATAACCTTTATAAATGTATGCGGTTCAGGATGTGCTCATGGGCGGAATACTTCCAGGTTGCTCGGGACCAAGCTGTTGAACTTTTTGGGGATTTCACAACCAGAACCTTTCGCTAACCAAAGCCGTGTGTAAAAAGCAATCTATTAGGGTGGGATCATACACCTTTTGGATTTTATTAAAAGTCCAAGGTGTCCAAATGCACCCCGATGCCCAATCACACCGATGATCATTTCCGCCACCAGGAAGGTGTGTAGTTCGTGNGTGTGTCTCTTGTTTGTTTTGGAATCGAGGCTTTCAATCAACTGCCCTATGTCAACTACCAGTGGTTCACCAACCATGTTATAGCACTGAATGTTAGCTTTTCGTTTTCTCACTTCGATTAAAAAAGGCAGCGAGTGAAGACTTCTTCAGCAGAGGCTATTCGAGACTCCTGGTCCTATAAGGTTTCAGAAAATACAAGGAAAATGTATTCAATCACATCCGACCGTATTGCGACCTGCAGAAGTGAATTTTTTGATTGGATTTTTGATTAATTGCGTTCATTTCCTAATTTGAATCATGCTTAAACGTTTTTAGCATTAAATCAGCCCGAACAGTAACTGTGAAGTCTGTTCTGTGCCCGGCAATTCAATGAACCAGATACGAATGTTTTTCAATAAGTAGCATAAGAATAATTCACCAAAATTCTCGATGGTAGCACATGACCGGTTTCGCGGTTCGTGTAGCGCATCAGGTATACGCATCCGGCAATCCTTTGTCGAAATCGTTGAGCATGTATATGCCCATATACGATGTCACTCGCCAATTCACCCTTCAGGAATCAAAATCGGCTGTCTCGGTAACGTAATTTTCACCTTTACGATTCCTAGACATAGCCCCTACGGTATCTAAATTCCGTTTGTAAATTGGCTAAATATCGATCATTAAGTAAGATTACTCTCTTGGATTATTTTCTCGTATGCTCACGGATCTATAGAAATAATCCGTAATTTTACCTAGCGTCTCAACGTTCGAATTTATTACTTGGAATGATCTCTAGGATCGTTGCACCGCTTAATAAACGTGTCCAACTATTTTAGTCATCAAATAATTTATTTCGTTTTCAACTACTATTAACGATTTCAGTAGTTAATCGAATTATCCTATTTTTTCCAGGGGTGCTGTGGTTGAAGCCCGCAACAAAAAAGGCGCGACACCGTTATGGCTAGCATCTAATGGTGAGTAACAGATCGATTGGACTGAGGTACCCGCAGCATATATAAAATGTATAAATTGTTTATCCAACTTTGGTTGTTTGGGTCACTTTACTCTTTGTGTGCTGTTCGTTATTCAGGTGGTCATCTGGACGTGGTGCAAAGTTTGATTCGATACAAAGCCGATGTCAACAGTCAGGACAATCGCAAGGTCAGTTGCCTTATGGCAGCTTTCCGAAAGGGCCATGTCAACGTGGTTCGGTTGCTAGTTCAATCAGTCACTCAATTTCCGTCCGATAAGGATTGTATGCGTCACATAAAAACAGCGGTAACAGACAAAGTAAGTCTATGAAACCCCCTGTTTTTGTTAGACATCGTCTTTCCACTATAACTATCTCATTCACTGTTAATCGCATTGATGTTAAATATATACAGCGTATCCTCTAGAGCTTCATTTCATAACTTGCTTTTGGATAGTTTTAATTTTCGGATTCCAGAACTGCTTTTTCTGAATGTGTTTTCTCATAACTGTGCCGGTACGCATACCGCCAATGTTAAATTGAGCATTAAGTTCATGGCATGGCAAGTTTATGGCATTTATGACCATGGTTTCACGGAAACCTAACCGCGATGTGTCGAGCGAGTAGTCATCCTGTTAGCAGTAAGCCACCTGAAGGGTTTCGTATTCGGCGTCCACGTGCCTGTCCGTTCAATGGAACCATTCCTCACGTGAGTGTGCCTGTCGTGTGACCTACTAGGTTTTGAGTTTTCACTGATTGGTTGACAGAATCCGATTCGCGCGCATGTGCAAGTATAAGCCGCGTGTCCGCCTACGCGAAATTTGACGCATGCGTCAACACGTGGATCCGTTTTTCTTTTTCCTGATATTCGATTGGTTCGGCGAAAGGACCAATCAGAATGCAGTTTTGTTAGAGTGAATGGGAAACGAATCCCGTTGGTCCTCCGTAATTATTTTTTCAAGAGCATTTGTGAAAGTAGAGTAGTCCTCTGTTAGTCTCGTGGGTGTTGTCGACGAGCTGCACGTTGGAATTATCTGAAAGAAACTAATTCTGGGACCTGTTACCATCTGTGGTTGATTGGTTGATACACTCATGCATGTGTGCACATAAGCGCATGAGTTTACTTTTTTTCTGGCCGCCCACACATTGACAAGTGCTTTCCATTCATATGGTGAGTGATTTTTCACTCAAGTGTTCTGTGTGCATATGACTGTCGAAACGTGGAGGTTTACTTACGTTGCCAACTGCCGATCATCTTGCGTTGTGCTGAATGCGAGTTTTTGGAGTTTTATCGCCTCCCTGAAATTAATGGGATTTTCGAATCATGACACACTACCTATGTCTAACCAAATACAACGCATCCAACGTTTCCGCTAATGCGCGTGTTGAAATAACCACCAGAGCATTGGGTCAAAAAAGTAACCCACAAAAACATTGGAATCCTATGACACGAATAGTGACTCCCACCACTCTTCACGAAGCAAGCACTGTGGACGGTGCCAAGTTTTCATTGACGTCTAACTGCGCCCTTCCGCGATTTGGCTCTCTGTTTCCTTCAGTGACCACAATGGATATTTCCGAAGATTTTCCCAGTGAATCATCTGCGTTGATTTGGGAATCAGTGTCAGATCCTACACTCAATTTAGATGAACCTGATTTATTGGAGGATTTAGATCGTTTTTGCTCAAATGATGATGCTGCTTCAGTGCATAGTTTGGGGAAATCGTCTACCGTAAGCAGCAGCTGTTCGGTCAGTTTTGATTCGTGTTATTCATCGGGGACAGGATCTGGTTGTCAACTCGTAAGTTATTTTTATTAAGTTCTCCGTTGTTGATAAACTGAAACTGAAACCTCATCGACTTTAAGCCTCCTCAGTTCTTTAGAACATGCGGCATGCAGTTTGCCAATGTACCCACTGCTTTATCTCCTCCTTATATACTTTCTGATAATTGCCTCGATTACATTTACCATAGGTGTTTGGCGAGAGTCGAGCCTTTTTTGCTCAAACTTTTAGGCTGCTGTGTTCGCATCGAGTTCTTCCAATGTTATTATGTACTCCGTTGTTCTATTCGGCCTCACGTTTGCTCGAATATTATCTAGCAGTTTATCTAAGAGTTCGCTAAAAGGAAACCACAGTACAGTGAATATCAATAGCCATAAATTACATAAGCTCATTTATACAGAGGCTGGAACGCAGTTAACTCACTACAACCTTTTTGGCGTGGCCCCAATAGAGAACAGGCTGTGTTGAGCTAAAGGGCATCTGGAACAATGTGAATACCGTGTGACGTTTGACGGTCTAAATCTGTGAGTTGAACTTCTGTTATCGATTGTGTTAATTAGGAAGGTACGGTCATTAGTGATCGCATCTCGCAAATTATAATGAGCAACAAGAAATTCACACGTACAAATGGAAGCGGAACGGATTGACCTTGAGGCTCAAAGTTTTGTAAGTCGTTTTTTGATGCCTGGTCATCTATTGCGACTTAGATGTATCTGTTTTTTTCCTATCATCCTGCGCTTTGATTTATGGTTTGGTTTATGCTGACCGATTTAATTCATCGACCTCAGTCGGGAACACTTCAATATGGTTAATGAAAAGTTATGAACATAACTAGTGGTTCAAGATTTAGTCGTTGCCTAGTTCAGTCGGTTTTCTTTTATACGGCCTCTCGTTCGCCTCAGCTAAGTAGAATGTTGCTGCTGGTTACATAGAATATCAGTATGGACTGTTGATGTTCACACACCGATATCTACATGAATTGCACGAATGTAGTTGGACCGCTGAGTGGGCAATACCGAGGTCAGCTACAGTGTGGGGTAATCGCGGTGAACTTACGCGGGGGCTTTCTCGATCTGTCACGCGCCGGCCAGTGGTTAGAAAAGTGCCAAGGGCAGTCAGTAAGTGTATAAAAACCTTGACCAATTAACGTTCGAATGGGTCGGATGTTTTTTAAATCAGCAGATGGAGTGAGCCCCATAGTCACGAAGACAGTAATGGAAACCAGTAGCCCTAAATCCCGGGACGACCACCAAAGTTTGGTGGTGGTGGTGGTGGGACTGGAACGTCAGACCATGGGGTCCAAAGCACAGCGGCAAAACCAACGAGCCACCACCACCCAAATAAATTACGGAACGGGGAGCTCAGGATCTTCTTTTTGAACGGTTGAAGACAACTATTTTTTCGAATCCCCTACGGCTTTGTTCGATGTATCCGATTTATCACCAGTTACAGTATCTACGAAAGCTACGGTAAACTTAGGATCTACATGTCGCAAAGGGACAACGAAAAACTTTAACCAAGGAGTCGTCAGTGTATCCTTTCGAATGTCAAAAGTGAGTGTAAATCCGTAGATCATTTGTGAGGTGAATTTACCAAGATGCAGAAGAATCGTAAAATGGTGTAGTTTAGACAGCGTGCAGTTCAGCGGTCTATGCATGTCTTATTTTTATAAATACCAGCGCCAGCACCGTGCACTTGATCAGCTTGGTCTGGCATTCCTAGGACCCTAGTACGGACCGCGAGAAAGACCCAATAGAACTGATGCTTCCACTGATACTCCCTCTTTCGTCATTTTATCTTTCTGTCTTCACTCGGAAAACACCAGCGGTGGTGGCGCAGTGGTTTAGTTGCTGTCGCTTTGGACCCTATAATCCGAGGTTCGAACCCTGCCACTGCCACCCGACTTTTGTGGTGAACAGCTTCGCTGTCGCCCGGTTCAATGCCACGCCTAACCTAGCGGGGCCTTTGTGGTTCACTACTCCGAGCCCCGATGCTCAAGTTGCAGGTTTCCACCACTAAACAGCCGGCCCCCGTAATTTTGGGGTTAGTCCCGCCTGCTGTACATCACTCCTGAGTGTGTAATAAAAAAACCCATCACAATTCATTGGGCAGTTTTTTTATTCTTGTTATACGCAGATTACGTTTTCCTTGATGAATCTACCGGTAGGAAGGTTGTTTGTTGTTGAATGCCGGGATAGGCAGCTCTCTTGATTGACTAAATGCAACGCCTGTTCTATTGAGACTCCTTTCTGTATTTCGCTAATGTTTTGTGAATTGTTTATTTTGCCGATTCTCGTATTCAAGAAGCATGTATTGTAACTATGACTTTACTTCGTCTGATATTTTCCGGGAATTATAAAAAACCGCCTTGTAGGTAATACCGAGCTCAGTTTCACATTTATATGTACTTTTTAAATAAGCAGACGTTAATATTCTTAGAGTTTCTGTTCTCACTTTCTGGATCCAACTTGTGTGTCAAACGTTATTGTACAGGTATCGATATAACGAATCAATGAATCCTTAATTCATTCGCGAGC